CACTGCTTGAATGGAACAATGGAGGTGGTTTTATGCCCTCACTCTGCCTGGGGTGTTTATATATGGGGCTTTTAAGATGTTAATAAACTTTTAAGTCACACCTTTCTTCAATAGACAATCCCAGAGAACAGTCCTATCCAACGAATCGAAGGCAACCGTGATATCAAGAAACACTACGATTGTTGGCCTGTGATAAGTATGACGGTGTTCTAACAGTTGGCGGAGGGTGAAGATATGATCAATACATCCTCGATTAGAATAAAAACCAGCCTGCTCCTCGCAAGTCAATCTTTCACGGGTTTTGAACAACCTACAAAGTATAACGGAAGGCAATGGTTTGGACGGAATCGGAAGTAGACTTATCTCCTTATAGTTGATGCAGAAACGACGTGAACCCTTTTTAAAAATTGAGAAAACTATCGACTCATTCCATAATGTTGGGACACTAACTGCCAGACCTTTGTAAACAACGTTGTCAGTTCCTTAACCAGAAAGTCACCATCTTTAAAAAGGGCCGGAGGTAAGTCATCTGGGCCCGGTGATTTGTAGCTCTTCAAGAGTTGGAGTTCCTTGCGGACTTCCGCCTCGTTAGGTGGGTCAGTTGTCGCAGGCCGTGGAGGGCAGGACAGTCTGGTCGATGTTATCGGGTCAGTAGACCAGTTGAACTGCTCTTCGAAAAATTCTGCCCATCGTCCATGTTGTTGATTGGCGTCCCATCATCTTCAAAAATTGTTTCAGTCACACCAGAAATCGTGTTGCCAGTGACTCGGATGAGTTGGAAGAGCTTCCGTAGTTATTATATACAGCTGCTGCTTCCAACTCATTGGCATGCTCCGACTATTAGGCTCTTCAGTCCTTACACAAGCTTCGTTTGTGGTCAAACTCGCGGTTACCCGGAAAAGACCGAGGGGCTTCAATGAGTTTTAAAGTGCCTAAAGAAACCCAGTGCTTATAGGCGGGTTGTTTCACAAATCCGCAAGCGACTTTATTCGCCATTTTCATGGCGTCATGCAATTACAACCAATGTTCAACTATACTTCTCGGTGGAATGGTAGCTAGTCTTGAGCCTAGCTAGGTTTGATATTTAGTTGCAAAATAAGATGCAACCAATTTGCTGACATCGATTTGTTTGGGACGATGAACTTGTTGGCCACTGAAACGCAATGTAAGATTAGGGCATGATCATAATCCAGATAGGTACTTCAAGAGAATCGGCAATATTGTACACAACCATGCCAGTAGTAGCTGATCGCGATATGATCAACCTGAGTCTAGGTTTGAGATGCAGAGAGAGGACGCCAGATGGCACATCGAAGATGACTGTGTTGGAAGTTAGTCCCAGTCAGAAACAGGTTATGGTCTGCGCACATTTGCAGTAGACGGTCCCCGTTATCTGGCTTGCGACCTACAAGTCCCCATTGACCACCTAAACTATATATATATCTTTTAGCTTGTGTTCGTATTTTGTTTCCTCAATGCCGTTCTACAGTTCCCAGAAAATAAACTTTTTAAAATTTCTTTTTTCTGTATTATGAGTCTAGACCGGAACTCTTTTACTTTTGTTATAAATGTTTTCTCTATAAAAAGTTGAAAACTATTTAATGCGTTATCTTCATAATATTTTCGTCTGATTGACATTTCCTGATGATATGCAACATTTTAATGGGTTATGGAACACTGTGACTACAAAATTAGCAATTGTGTAATAACTCAAATCATTAACCAAACATTTCATTCCTATAGGTATGCGTGTGTGTATGCACTAATTGTTTGATAGTAAATATCATCTCGATTTCTAATGGATCACTGGTGGAATATATAGTATCAATTATCCAACTGCTCTATGACTACTTTTTCTGTTTTCAGAAGACCATTTGAATATTTAAATGAATTATTATGATGACTTGAACAGACAGTACAATAGTTGTTGGTTATCAGTCAACTGAAGTCTAATATTCAACCATCTTCGGTATGTATAAATTGATGGTTGAATGGTAGACTTGTTAACTATCCGTTTTTGAATTCACTTGGCATCGTGTACTTGGATATTCTCATTAATATTTAGGTTACAATTGACCAGTCTTTTATTGGCATATTGGCGTATTGCCTTAATTCAAAAGCATTATAAGCAAAGACGAATAGTGGCTAGCAGTGAAATCCAGCTAGCTAAGTAGATAACGCGATGGCGTTTGAAGCAAACGGTACTGGGTTTGAGTCCCAGGGTGAATATCAACTATAAGATGCAGGTACATTCACTTAATGAGTCCCAAGTAGGACGGAACGCGCGTCCTGGATTCCATTGCTAGCTACTATCCATCTTTGCTTATCCATTTTTGAGTTATTTTAAGCGCAATCTATGTGTTCATTATACTTTTAAGTGGAGTGTAGTCCATTAGATTCTAGTAATATTAACTAAGTTATTGAAAATCTGTTGTCAGTTGGACTTTTTTCAAACAATATTTTCAGTTGCAAATACTTTTCTCTAATATCAGTTTGATTAATTTTTTTACAGGTGAAATAAAGTTCTGCTTTCACTTAGTAATAATAAGTTTTACACATTTTACCCCACCCTAGGTTCTTTGTTTCTGTTGATGCAAAAGATGATAGATATAGTTAACTTCATATTTTTCGAGCAATTATTAAGTCTATATTTTTGTTGAAGCTTTATTTTCATGTATAACTCACGACTTCTTTCTCACCAATATTAACGGTAGAAACATGAAAACTTCCCCCATGAAATTTAGCGTCCTAATATCATATTAAAGCATTAATCTTTATAAGTCCAGGTTTCTGTTTTAAACTATATAACTATTTCAGTGGTAGCTCACTGATGAGCATCAAAGAATAATCTCAGCTGTTTCATAAATACATGTACCTGGATGATGGCTTTCGTCGTTCTCTAAGTTTCCGCCCCATACAGTAGAACTGCTTTGACATTTGTATTGAAAATTCTAACTTTGGTGTTGGTTTACAGTTGGTTTGAGTTCCAGATGTTTTTCACTTGTAGATATGCTGCTCTTGCTTTGCCGATCCGCGCCTTCACATCTGCATCAGATCCACCCTGTTCATCAATGATGCTGCCCAGATATGTAAAGGTTTTTACATCTTCCAAATCTTCTCCGTCAAGTGTGATTCGATTGTTGCATGTTGTTGTTGCTTTTCCCTTTGTGTATGTTGAGACCTACTACTGCTGCGTCACTGGTCGTCTTCTACATTTGTTGTTGCGTGTGCGATAGAAGAGCCAGATCATCTGCGAAGTCTAGATTGTCCAGCTGCATCCTAGCCGTCCACTGTATTCCATGCTTCCCCTCAGATGTTGACGTCTTCATGATCCAGTCGATCACCAGGAGAAAGAGAAAGGGTGAGAGTAAGCAGCCTTGCCTGACATCGGTCTTTACTTCGAACGACTTTGTCAACTCTCCTCCATGTAAGACTTTACAGTTTAATCCATCATATGAATTTTGTATGATATTGACTATCTTCTGAGGCACGACGTAGTATCGAAGAAGCCTCCACAGTGTTGTCCTGTCCATGCTGTCAAATTCTTTCTTGTAGTCAATGAAGTTGATGTAGAGCAATGAATTCCACTCAATTGATTGTTCCATAATGATTCGTGGTGTTGCAATTTGGTCTTTACACAATCGATCCCTACGTAATCGAGCCTGTTGGTCTCGAAGTTGTGCGTCTACGGACTCCATATTGTTTAACAATACCCTGTTGAAGACTTCCTGGTATTGAAAAAAGAGTGATTCCTCTATAGCTCTCACACTTGCTGAGATCGCCTTTGTTTGGAATCTTGATCAGATGTCCTTCTTTCCAGTCTGTTGGTACTTGTTCTTCATTCAAAATCTTGCTGGAAAGAACATTCATTACCTTTACAGTTACTGCTACATCTGCTTTCAGTGCCTCTGCTGGAATGTTGTCTGGTCCCGCTGCTTTGCCGCTCTTGATTTGTCTGATGGCTATGTTGATATCTTCAATTGTTTTTTGACCAACAAAGTGTATTTGTCAGTTCATGCTTTATTAGAGCCATCGAGTACGTATACCATTCAACACTATTTTGAGAAACGTTATGTTTCAGTTATCTATGCTAAATTTATACAACCATAATTACCTTGAAATCATGGGGAAGTCTATTCTCTAACGTTGCGTTTAGCCGTTTTTTCATAATTAAGAATGTGTACTTTACTCACTGTTCTGGTTAAGAAGAAACATATCCTAAATCTTAATTTATTGCAATTAAAAATTGATAATCTGATGTGCATAAATTTTGCGACAGTATTTCCCACCAGATTATCATCATCATACTGAAACAAAATTCTTGTATAAACCTGTTTGTCAGCAATTATTCAAGTTGATATTCCATTCAATATCCTAATGTCACAGCGTTGTTTTTTGTTGATAATTTTCAAAGGTTGAATGTAAAATTATGAAATTTTATCCAACACTGTTCAAAGTAACATTATTTTTTATCAAACTTCGAAATGCTATTGTACAATGATTATACAACGCTTCAAGTGAACAATGTAAACGAAATATGGCTTTACGAAATTCATAAATTTATTTCTCACCATCCATATGTATGCTTGAATGAATATTATGAATTCGCAGCTGGAGTCAGTTCACTTATTTCAGTCGCGTTCTGATCCAAACCTCATAATTTATCGTAAATTAAAATTTGTTGTACATAGCACGTAGTGAAATCACAGAAACTCCCCAAGTTATTTTGAACCAATGAAACAATACAGTTTTTCTTTTGTTATTGGTATTTTACTTCAAATAGAATTTCAATGTTTGTCACAAGTTTTTTAGCTATTCATGGATTTCACGAATCGACTATGACTATTATGACGATCAATAAAATGATGTATGTTTAATGCTACCTACATATTACGTTTTCTGTCTATAAACCATTCTATTTTAAATGAATATAAAAATCTAATTATATATCTTTCGTCATATTTCTAAAATCTCTTCTCCGTTTGTATACTTTTGATCAGTAATGCGACGAGGTTGTCCAAATGATTGCAGTAATCGTGGTGTGTGTGATGGTGGTGTTTGCGATTGTGTGAATGGATTCAAAGGTCCAGATTGTTCAATAGGTAAGCGCAACTATATATCAATTCGTTTTTTTCCAATACTGTTAAATAGTGTTCATGTTTCCATGTTTGATGACAATAATATGGATGTTTTAAAATCTTAACCCATATATCGAAATTCCATAATTTTTTATCCTTAATGCGGTAAAAAATGATGCTGAACTACAAAATTTTATTATTTCTCATATTTATATATAAATATTTGAATTGCTTTAACTTTCAATCAGTCTTCAAACATAATCTTTTGTTCTTTGGATATAATTTTTTTATTTACTCACATTTTAAGCAACAAAATAAACCAGATATCTTATTGGTTTTATCGACTGATAGATGGTTTTCCTGTTTTTATCACAACTGAATACTTACTTTATCCGCTTTATAATGTTAAGCTACTTAATAATGTTTAGAAGTAGTGATGTGTATTTAACGCACGGTTATTTTCAAGTTAATCAGGGTGACTCGTGTAATAACACAAAACCAACATGAATAAACTTTTTCTCAATGACTTTTATCACTGACTGTTATCAATAGTTAGAGAACTAGATGGCTATCTCTCCATAGTTTTAATGCTCTCTGATTTTCAGTGACTATTTGAGCAGCTAATCCCTGATTAAAGCTATCTTAAAAATAAAAAAAACTTTTGAATTCTTGTCTTCCAAAGGTCTGTATGTGGCTTCCGACCGGCAGAATGAAGTTCATAAATCTTAAGCTATTCGCTTAACTCTGGATACATTTTTATGTGTTTACTACGTACCTCGATTAATTTGGTTTAAACTATTTACCGTTGGTTACAAATAGTCATTATCATTAAAACATGTTTTCATTTGTTCTGGTGATTAATTTTTTCCTAATGACCTTTGTGTCTAGTGTCTAGAATTTCGATTAAAAACATTTTGTATTTATCTTTCAACCTGATGTGTATTTATACATTTATCTCATTATTTTTATTGATAAAAATCTAATAACAATCACTATAGCTGAGTTACCGAAAGTTTGCAGTGGGCATGGTGATTACGCATCTGGTGCTTGTCGATGTTATCCTGAATGGAAAGGTCAAGAGTGTCAGACATTATGGTCTGAATGTGAAGATCCTACCTGTTCAGGTAATGGTCGTTGTGTTGTTGGTGAATGTCAGTGTTATGAAGGTTATGCTGGAAATTTGTGCCAGACACGTAAGTCATTTTAATTAATTAATAACTATACTTGTGTTATCGTTGCTCATTAATTTATATTTAACTGATTGGATGTAATTATGTTTAATGACTTCTGTTTATTTTCATTTACCATATATGTTAATTACTTAGTTAACTGTTTAATCTATTTACAACAACAACTCCTACTACCATTAAATAAACGGAACCTATTGATGTAGTTGTTTTTTTCTAATTTGTAATTTTATAAATTTTCTGCACACTACGACTATTATTTTCACTTAACTGTCTGTCGATTGTACGTGTATATTTTTACATGCATTGAGTTTTTTTATATCCATTCATTTATACTTTTCTATTGCACACCTATATGCACACACAGACACTCGTCAATGAGCATGTAAGAGTTGCTGGCAAAACTTATAATTTTGCTGGATGGCATCAATATAAAATAATAAAATCGAAATATAATTACATAGTAAGTGAAAAAAGAAAGCGTTAGTGATTAGTTTGGAGAGGATTTCCACTGTTAATGATGAATAGTCAGTCAGTCAGCTACAACGTAGGACCAGGCACATATGTGCATCGGTCCAGGTTGCCAAACCGCATCAGCACAACAAGATGAACACCGGATTCATAGCAGTGGTTAGGTCAAAGGTGGTAATATATAAGAGAAAGATTGCATATAGAGATATAGTACAGGAAGAAAGAATTGGTTCGTAGAAAGAAAGATATGAAGTGATTTTAATCTCTTAGTTTAAGAGAAGACAGGGAGTGTATACACCGACGCCATTGTGATCGATTCTGATGATGAATAATGAAAGCATGACTAAGTAGCTCCTTTGTTCGAATGCTTCTCTAATTAAACCTAGAATATCTAATTCGTACGACGTCAAACGCCGTTAGTATCGAATTAAATTCCTTGTCTTCTGTAATTTCAGTTACCTTCTTTTTGAATTGATTCATTTCAAAAACATTGGTTGCTAATTAAAGCATCAATATGATTATAAGCGTTCAAAAAAATTTTTGCATGAAAAAAATTACACATGGAGAGTTAGTTTTCTATTGTGAAAATTAGAACAACACATTTAAGCTAACAATTGTTTTCAATTAGATCGTCATCATATACATGAATATTTATACAAAAAATTTTAAACCAATCAAGGCAATTCGGGTCAATAATCAAAATGAAATAGAATAATTCTCTACACATAATAGGTAAAAGTACAAGTTGATAGTAGTAGGAAGACAGGTGAACTGATAATAGTGAGAATTTATTATTACAATAACAAAACTCTTATCAATAGTTAATCGTTGGAAATAGAAGGTCAAATAAACATGGGTAAATAGACTAGGAATAGTAATCACAAAACATTAAAATCATTACGTAATAAGATGTGTGTAAATAATTAGATAGTGAAGAATACAAACGGCAAGAGGCGGAAAATTACAAACAAATAATGGATGTGGAAATAAGGTTAATGATAACAAAATAGAATAAAATAAATAATGATAATAATAAAATTTAAAAAAAATATTGTTAGTTAAGTTATAACTGGCCATGGAAGGGATAGGGGGGTTACGTATTTCTTCTGTACACATAAATTGGGGTTATATGTACGAATTCCAATGGCTTCAGCTATATGTAAGAGGCGTGAACGAACTCCGTTGGGATATGATGGAGGTATACGATAGATAACTCGAAATGATTTCGATTTATGCACAGCATGAACGCTATCAATGAGATGTTCCAAGATAGAACTGCGAATAGATTTTATCTAGCCCTTCATGTACCAAGTTGGTAGATGTTCACTCATTCGTTGGTTAAGTTGCCTGGTAGTACGCCCTATATAGCTATCTCCACAGGAGCAGCTGAATTTGTAAATGCACATAGAAGAGGCCAACTCAGGTAACTTATCCTTCGTTTGAGTAGACATCGCTGGTCGACAAGAGAAGGTCAACGCAAGATTGGCTGCGTAGAATGTCTTCGTGATTACTTTAGTTAACCTACATTTCAGAGTGTCACTAGCCACATCCCCGTTGAATTGCACTTTAATGTATAAAGGTTTCTTACGAACAGTCGAAATCTCCCACTTCTTTATTATGCCATACATGTACTTCTTAATGAAAGCACTGGGGTAGCCGATCTCGGGCAGTGAGTTGTTGATAAATTCAAGCTCCTGACTTAGAGTATCTACTGTACAGATCTTTTTTGCTCTGCTAGTGAGACACCTGACCAAATCTCTCTTGTAACGGATAGGTGTGAAACTGAAGAAGTGAGTATATTGGCATGAAGAGGGGTTTCTTCCATACACGCTTCTACTTAATGTGCCGTCACTTCGTCGGCTTAGTGTGACGTCAAGGAAGTTCAGCTTCTTATCACGCTCGCTTTCACCAGTGAAAGTGATCGCTGGGTGAACACTGTTGAACTGTTCTGGGAGTTCCTCCTTACTGGTGTTTTGATCTACGATAATGAAGGTGTTAACGTAGCAGCAATATAAATCAAGTTTCTTAATAGTCTCATTCAGAGGTCCATTTTCTAGCTTTGCTAGGAAGAGGTCAGCTAAAATCGGGCCTAGAGGCGAGCCCGTGGCTATCCTGTCTATTTGTCTATAATAAGTATTGCTGAAGACAAAGTGTACATTCAGCGTGCATCTTAAGAGCATTTCCTTTAGACTATCGTTAGGCAAGCCAATGTTGATTTGTTTTTCTGATATTCTGATATATAAATATTCATATTAGAGTAAAGCCTGATGACGATCTAATTGAAAACAATTGTTCGCTTATATGTGTTGTTCTAGTTAGTTTTCTCTTCAACTTTATTGATTTATGAATATTAGAGATCGTCTTATGCTTTCCATTATTTATCAGTTAAGTCGTATGAGTTTGAACTAGCCAAGTAATTATATATCTACATGGCCTTAAAGGCAAGCGATAAATATCATAGCAAGAGAGCGATGAACCAATAAACATAAAATAATTTAGGCAGCTACGAAAAATACCTACTATACAGAATTATAGTCATCAATTCAAAATAAATAAATAAAAAATTAATAAGTAAAGAAAACAGATTACAAAGATTAAATCATCACCAAAAGTATATCGTACATAAGATGAGTGACCAATAATTCTGTGTTCCATATTCCATGCTCTAATCAACTCATGGATCTTTATACTGGTGAACATCAATAGCAGGGAAGTTTGATAGAATGACAGTACTTGAATAGGTACATATTAATGAATGAACATGGATATATCATACTAATTTTAACTAGTCGATTTATTGGTCAAATGTTTCCAGTTACTATCATCTTTATAATTTGTTGTAACGGGTGGACCGCAGGTTAGATGTGCAGCGTATTTATCGATCGCATCAGTGACACGTAAAACACGTAAGGACGACCTAGAGTCCCGATTGGTCCCGCTTCCCTATCTAGCCCAGGCAGTTGAGTCTAGAACGCAAGTCACAGCCTCTGAGTTATGAATCGTTATATTCCAAACACACTCTGTTTATATAGCAACCAACCAGACCACATTGTACCACAAAATAGAAAACAACATTTGTACAATATTTGACAGGTGAAATGAATATCGACCAATGGAAATGTCCATTTAACGTCCAAGGTCACCATTAGACTTAACACGATAATTATTGGTATATTCCTCTGTATCCCTAACATAATTGTACATCTTGTTCGTGGAATTATTCCCTTTTACCTACGTAATTTGATTGTTCTTTCCTGTTTTATGCCACAATAATATATTAGTTATATTAACTGCGCGAATTGTTTATATTTGTCAAGGCATTGTTTTCTTCATCAAACAACAAAACCCTACCAGAACGTCCATTTTTTCTAATCGCTATTATATTTGACCTGGTTCCTAGCCACTACCTACCTGGGTTTTCACTGTTGGCCTGTGTATAAACAGAGTTCTAGAGGTGGCCAAACCAAAATATGGCATGAGTCCGTGAATTTGTTAACTGTTGACCTGAGTCATTTTAGTACTCGTCCACCATCTAGTTGAATTCAGTGCGATAATCACCATCACCGGTTGTAGACCTTAGGTGATATGGACGCCTCCGCAAAGTCGTATTCTTGCTCTATTTCCTCCCAAATTTCCAGTTTCAAAATTATTTCATACCTTTATTCCCTCATTACATTCCTTTTTTTCGGATGGTATCCTCTATGTTTTGTATGTTTTACTACCACTAATGTTACTTTTATTTCAACCACTTTGCTACTTATCTTGTTGATTTTACCTTGCTGAACTGATATGGTATTAAGACTTTGGTTGATGCACTATTGCTCCAAGTCCTGCTTCAAATACAACAGATCGAAAATATTTGGATCCTATTCAAATATTCAACATAGGCTAATGAACTTAAGAAGTAGTTGAACAAATAAAAGCAACTTTTATCTTTATAATCACCTAACCTTATGAACATTTCTGCCTGGTTTATCGAAGATGGTGTCCGCATATATAAGGTTTATAATTTTCTCGTATGAACCGATAAGTACTGGCTTCGAGTCTCAGTGTGAAAATCGATAATACGATCCAGGTATAGCCTACTGAAAATCCCTAATAAGATGAAACACGCATCGTAGATCCCACTGTTAACCATCCTGTCTTGTTTGTTATTTTTCATGACACTTCGGTTGTTTGAGATTTGTTTAACGAAATATCACTTATTACAATGAAAATAATTTCTGATTTGATTAGAACTTATTTTATTAGTTTCCCCATATGCTCAACCATGAAATTCTAACATCAACACTTTTTCCATAAATTACCATTTTATGTATGTGTTTATTTTTTGATGCAATAAATTGTAAATCAAATTAGATGAAGTAGGAGTTTTCAGTTCCTACTAGTACTACTACTAGATTTCTTCAGGGCCTAAACCCAGCATTACATTAGGAAAATTAAATTTTAAAAAACAACAAAATAATAAAGTCGGCATACATGTAATGTAGAAAGAAATAAGAAGCAGAAATAAGTAGTTGTTTCTATGTTTGCATATCAAAGTGAGAAATAGATAGAGATAGGCGGACACCGGATACCAAAAGAAAGCAAATGAAACAGTTGAAATTATTCGCGTTTGCAAATATATCTAACACATGAAAAAGGTTTAAAACAAATGCTTTTGGCCTCTTTTTTAACCGTCTCGTTTATAAAGTTATTCTTTTTTCATCCTTGTAGTTTGGATGTATTGAATTTATTACAGTTTTGTTAGGTTCTTTGACGTCGTAATCGGGTGTTGATACTGTGGCACGATGTGGGTAAGTAATTATTGCTCACAAACACGCACTGACTGTAAATGACCAGTTGAATTAAATGAAAACACTGAACAATCGATCAAATAATAATAATATTTTTGCACTGACGTGATTGAACTTTTTTTGCCTAGGTTCCACAGAACGCATTAAAAACCCATTTTAAGTTTTATTTTCATTTCATATTATTTATCGGATTCAGGAACGTGTATCTCTTTCAATTGTTCTGGTCACGGAGTTTGCATGAATGGAAATTGTCGATGCTTCAATGGTTGGTCTGGTATCGGTTGTGAGCTACCTGTACCTAATCATTTAATAAATTCTGAACTAATTCATCCGTCTAATGGAGCATCTACATCTGGTAACACGGATAATGGAAATAATAATAATAATAATAATAATAATAATAATAATAATAAAATGTTTAACCGATTAATGATGAAGTCACTGTCTTCTCCTTCTTCATCGTCTGTACGAGCGATGGGATTATCATCCGCACCTGTTAGGTTGTTGTTGGATGCAGCATCAGAACAAGGTAAATTTGTTTCTATGAATATTTCAAATCTTATTTATTCCTGTTAATTATGTCATACTTTATTTTCTGTCAGTTCTTTCTTCTTATTCCTATTTCGTCTCTCCATTTGATCAAACTACCAACAACAAAAAATAATGGGATGCTCTAGTTGTTTATGTAACTTAAATAAATAATTTTTACCTCACTAAAATCGATTTGGTGTAATGTAAACTTATCTGTGTGATTTAATCAAGTTAGAAATCCTTAGCTTTAGATAGAAAGGTTATATTTCGTAGTTTTAAAAGTAATATGCTTGAATATCTTAGTATTTATTTGAGTCGTTTAATATTATTATTACAGACGACGTATATGTTCAGGTAACCAGCACACTATTTATCTAGTATTTAATCACTCGAATTTTAACCAGTGTCTTGAATCATGTTCTTATTACTTTTAATAGTGACCTCATAACAAGTGATCAGTAAAAGCTTCATATACAAACATATGTTGTATTGCAGCTTGAAATATGATTGCTAAGGAAATAATCATTTATAGCACGTTAGTTCATCTAATGTAAGCGAATGTTACACGCAATGTTTGTCAATATATGTTAACTGATAAATTTAAGAAAATTTGTTGTAACTATAAATTATATATAGCAAAATATTTTTCGTCTTCTTAATAACTCGCAAATACAATGAAATGGAAGTCGTAAAGTTAACTGATAGTTACTGTCAAATACAACGAATATCTTAAGCTGTTTACAAAATCACCCTGTATTGTGTATGAGCAACACGAGCAAAAAACGTTAGATGATTGAACCTAAATTTCAACTTATAACGTCATGAAACCATTACTCGTAAGAAAACTATGCAATTATCTTTAAATCTGCTATTAGCATTTTCCCTGTTTTGTTTTCAGAATGCACACTCGACTGTAGTTCCCACGGTGTATGTGAATATATGGATGGTTATGATCAGCCTGTATGCCGATGCTTTTCTGGTTGGACAGGTTCCGATTGTTCTACAAAACGATGCGATACTCGTTGTTTTATAAATGGACATTGTACTAATGGTACATGTATTTGTAAAGTCGGTTGGAATGGAAAATACTGTACATTAGGTAATTTTCTAATCGTTCTCTTATTTTGCATTGTGAACGAAAAAGTATGTGAATAATGTAGGAGATGTATTGACATGAAATACTCATCTGTTTGTGACACTAATTAGCCAGACAATTTTCCTTTTTGAATTTAATTTATAAATGATCCAAAAAGACATTTGATCGACATTCTCTGATCTTTTGGTAAACACAGTAACTGAATGTTTATCTGTAGGCATGTGAATCATACAGGTGTTCGCTATCTATTACATCAATTGAAAAATAGGAATCAGGTTGCTAATACCAAACTTGGGAAAAGCAGGTAGAACCTTGACCTTTTGGAAGAGCATTAATTATATCTTCAACTTTTGTTAGATTCTGATAAGGGAGTGTATATTGGTAGTATATTTTCAAATATCCAACCTGTTATATACAAGTTATGACTTAGCATAAATTTCCATTTGACCAAGTAGCCACAACCTACATCAGACTCTAACTTAATGTTTTAACCTAAATTTGCATTTAATTTAGTTGATCGAAACTCTTCGCTGTAGTGACTGTCGTTAAGAAGAATATGTGACAATGTTATAAGATCACTTAAAGTATTTAACCTGAATCAGGTAGATGAGGTAATGTTCATCGGTGCTCCGCACTCATTTATTAGGTAGTTTTGCAGTACTTATACTCCTAGATGTAATACTTAGTTTGGGTTTTTAGAAATTAATTTTGAACACTCGGACAATAGTGCTCTCTGATAAAAATTCTAACAGAACATAATGTTTTCTGAATAGTTTGGACGATGATAGATGATTGTTTCAGGTGAATTTATGTTCGATAGTAAGATCTTACGTATTTTTGATTTTTGTTCTGGGCTAATATTTTTTTATTCAATGAAATTTACTCTTGTTTTAAACATCTACTGGAAATTCTTTTAACGAATAAAAATCAAATATTTTGAGTAAAATTAGACAATACTCAACAACAATAACTTATTATTCATATAGTTACCTTTCAATATCCTCGTTAATCTTTATCTTTATTCGTTTACTGTTCTGTCTCCCCATCACTTGGGTAAAAATGGCAATGCCTACCGAATGAACTTCGATTGTTACTTGCTAGTTAATTGGTTGATTTTTGTTCACCTCAATTTCTACCTTCCTTTCCCCTGTTCCTTTTTCTTCTGCTGACAACTGTTCATAGCCTGTTCACCGATTTGAGATAATCAGTCGAGTCGTCTAACGTTTATCCTGTAATAACTGTGAACATTAACATGTTAAATACAAATCCGAAATAAAAATGTTAAGCCAATGATATTACCTTGAAGATATTCCATTCTATTTAGTAGGGTATCATGTATGCAGCATAATATATATTCCTAAATTGTGCTAAATGTAATATCGATTAAATGGTGATTTTTGCTAGCTGTTTGATTCAGTTTCTCAATTGGCCTTACAAATTATCTTCAAAATTTCCGTATTTTGCAACTATATTAGAGTATAAAAATGAATCTTTGTTGTTCCCTCTCATTTTTCATCTTACGTCCATATACTTAGTGAACCTGTTGCGGAGATCATGCAAGCTGTTCTTTTATTCTTTACTTATTTGTAGATGGTTGCCCAGATCATTGTAATGGACACGGTCAATGCATCATGAATACATTGACTAATTTTTATTATTGTCAATGTTCTCCTGGTTGGTCAGGTAGTGCGTGTCAACGACAAATCGAAACAATATGTGATGATGGAATAGATAATGATCATGGTAAATTTAGTCTATTAAATAGCCTTTAAGTTTTTAAATAGTATCAAAGATACAAGAACCGTCTAAGTTTAGACAAACAGTCTCACAATAATTGGACGCCGAGTTAATAGAATATATTAAAAAGGAAATTATATTCGTACAAGTCTCAGTGATTGATAGATTTAATAATAACTCCAACGTTTCCCTCGGCAATCAGATCCAAGCTAGTCTATCTTTTTTTAGTATCACAGGGAATCTCTCAAAATCTAGGTCATTATTAAAATATAACACAAAGCGAATGATTTTATTTGCTTATTTGTAATATTTCTGTCAAGAACATTATTGGTTTATTATTATTATTCACTATTTAACTACACAAACATTGATACAAGGGAGCACCAAACATATATACGCCAGACTTTATCATTCGATTTATGTAAGGGCTGGGATACTCCCTGGGCTCCCAAACAGAAGCAGGTGGTTTTCTTAGAGGGCCACTCCCCGAGCCTTGACGTAGAAGTCTAATCTACAAGGCAGTGGAGATGCAGTTTCATGGTAGCTGGTGACCAACAATAAGTTCATACGCCATTTGTTCTGGAGCCCATGTACATCAATGGTTTGGAATCAGGATCTTCCAACTCCCCTAGGATGATTCTCCAAACATTCGCTTTTTGTCCTCTCAATTTCGCAAACAATACACCATCCGCGATAAGGCAGTGAGTAGGACTTCCCCGACAGTGGTCGTACACTCGTGGCTATGTGAGGGCATTTCAAGAGGGAGGGCGGGCTCTCCCCACCTCCGGCCGTACCAGGAAATTTGGGGTTATATTATTGGTTATAAACCACTCGAAATACACCGGACGTAACAAAATTACGAGAAGTCAATGCTTCTTACTTGTTGGATGGGTAAGAAGAGACATGACAAATACACGTATATAGAGCTGAATATAACTATTTTTTTCATTGTGAAACAAAATAAAAATTTCAAAATATTCCTCTGCATGTTATGGGTTTGTAACATTCGTGTACTCAGCTATTATTCATGCTATTTGTATTTGAACTAGCAATAATACTCGGCCTCTCAAATCCAAGTAACTAGTACTGTTGGATTCAAACGTGCGAACTAATGGTTAGAAGTCAATTGCTTTGTTTTCTGAGTAGTGACTTCGCAATTACATCTCATACTGTCCCATAATTATTCATTGACATTATGTTAATTAATTTCTTTATAATCTATCTACATTATTATTACGGTTCATATTTGTCCTATAAACATCACCATCATCATGACAGCAATAAGATAATAATAGCATGAGTAGTATCTCGAACCATTCAGTATTCTGTACAAAGGGTCGCACATTCAGTACTTTATACACATATATTACCAGCCCTACCTATAAACAAAACTAATGAACGTAAACGGAGTCCTTTTTATAAAAATTGATCTTTTGCTTATATAAAAATAAAACATTTTCTTATAAAATATCTTGTTACTATATGCATGGAAAATGTTCCTTATGACTGATCGAATATGGAACTATTTTATTATCGTGTACTGATTGGAAATATATCTTTCTGTCAATATAGGATGTTGACAGTTAGCATTAAAAACAAAAAAAATGCTAAATAGTTGGGAAAAAATTCATCATACGTGTATATATGTAAATGTGTATGATCTATCTCATTTTTCTGATATATATATATATATATATATATATATAATACTTGTCACACTGTATTGGCTACGTTTTTTAGTCTAATATTCTCCGCCTGGAGTCCCTCCGGGGGCTACTGCCGGTCCCAAGCCCGGATAAAGGAGGAGGGTTGGGCATGGGGTTAGCGTCCCCATCCCGTAGAAAACTAACTCGCTAAAAAAACGCTAACCAGAAAAAATTATTCAAAGCTTTTAAACTCTGCCCTGGGAGTCAGAAGATCTTCATTTAGAAGAATTATGACGCCTCATGATGAAAGCCGAATCCCTTCGGAAGTTACGAGGCCGATGCCCCTTCTGACAACCAGAGCGACCATTTATTTAGGTACATGGAATGTTCGTACAATGTGGGACACCGGAAGAGCCTTCCAGATTGCTGCAGAAATGAGAAGATACAACCTAGAGGTACTTGGGATCAGTGAAACACATTGGACACAAGCTGGACAACAACGACTAACTACAGGAGAGCTCCTGTTATACTCCGGCCATGAAGAAGAAAATGCACCACATACACAAGGAGTTGCATTGATGCTGTCCAAACAAGCGCAAAATGCGCTTATAGGATGGGAATCTCATGGACCAAGGATCATCAAAGCCTCGTTTAAAACAAAGAAAGAGGGCATTTCAATGAACATCATCCAATGCTATGCGCCTACCAACGACTACAATGAAGACGCTAAAGATCAATTCTACGGTAGGCTGCAGTCAATAGTCGAGAAGTGCCCAACAAAGGACCTGACCATTCTGATGGGAGATTTCAACGCCAAGGTTGGAACGGACAACACTGGATATGAAGACATCATGGGACGGCACGGACTGGGAGAAAGAAACGAAAATGGTGAGAGATTTGCAAACCTATGTGCCTTCAATAAACTGGTCATAGGCGGCACCATATTCCCACATAAACGCATACACAAAACCACATGGACTCCACCAGATCACACTACACAGAACCAAATCGACCATATCTACATTATCAAAAAGTTCGGGAGGACGATGGAGGATGTGAGAACCAAGAGAGGAGCTGATATAGCATCAGATCATCACTTGCTGGTCGCCAAGATGAAATTTAAACTCAAGAAGTACTGGACAATGGGGCGGACAATATCACAAAAGTTCAATACGGCCTTTCTTCAAGATACTAACAAACTCAACAAATTCAAGATAGTCCTCAGCAACAAGTTCCAGGCCTTTCATGATCTACTCAATGGAGAAGGAACTACTGTGGAGAGCAACTGGAAGGGGATCAAAGAGGCAATCACTTCAACATGTCATGAGGTCCTGGGTCACAAGAAGCACCACCACAAGGAATGGATCACTGTTGGTACACTGGATAATATTCTAGAAAGGAGGAACAAGAAGGCAGCGATCAATACCAGCCGAACAAGAGCAGAAAAAGCCAAGGCACAAGCTGAATACACGGAAATAAACAAACAAGTGAAGAGGAGCATCAGAACCGACAAACGTAAATATGTGGAAGATTTAGCAACGACGGCGGAAAAGGCTGCAAGAGAAGGAAACATGAGACAATTGTATGACACGACAAAGAAACTCTCTGGAAATCGCCACAAACCAGAACGACCAGTGAAAAGCAAGGAAGGCAAGGTAATCACCAACATTGAAGAGCAACAAAACAGGTGGGTAGAACACTTCAAAGAACTCTTGAATCGACCAGCTCCACTGAACCCACCCAACATCGATGCAGCACCCACGGACCTCCCAATCAATGTTGGCCCACCAACAATTGAAGAAATCAGCATGGCTATCAGACAAATCAAGAGTGGCAAAGCAGCAGGACCGGACAACATCCCAGCAGAGGCACTAAAAGCAGACGTAGCGGCAACTGCACGGATACTCCACATTCTCTTCAATAAGATTTGGGATGAGGAACAAGTACCAACAGACTGGAAAGAAGGACTTCTGATCAAAATACCGAAGAAAGGCGATCTCAGCAAGTGTGATAACTACAGAGGCATCACTCTTCTCTCAATACCGGGAAAAGTCTTCAACAGGGTATTGTTAAACAGGATGAAGGACTGCGTAGATGCCCAACTTCGTGACCAACAGGCAGGATTCCGTAAGGATAGATCGTGTACAGACCAAATCGCAACTCTACGGATCATTGTGGAACAATCAATTGAATGGAATTCATCACTCTACATCAACTTCATTGACTACGAAAAGGCATTTGATAGCGTGGACAGAATAACACTATGGAAACTTCTTCGACACTACGGCGTGCCTCAGAAGATAGTCAATATCATACAGAACTCATATGATGGATTACACTGCAAAATCGTGCATGGAGGACAGTTGACAAAGTCGTTCGAAGTGAAGACCGGTGTTAGGCAAGGTTGCTTACTCTCACCCTTTCTCTTTCTCCTGGTGATCGACTGGATCATGAAGACGTCAACGTCTGAAGGAAAGCGCGGGATACAATGGACATCTAAGATGTAGTTGGATGATCTAGACTTCGCAGACGATCTGGCCCTTCTATCCCAAACGCAACAACAGATGCAGGAGAAGACAAACAGTGTGGCAGCAGCCTCAGCAGCAATAGGTCTCAATATACACAAAGGGAAAAGCAGGATTCTCCGATACAACACAGAATGCACCAATCCAATCAAAATTGACGGAGAAGATTTGGAAGATGTACAAACCTTTACATATTTGGGCAGCATCATTGATGAACAGGGTGGATCTGATGCAGATGTGAAGGCGCGGATCGGCAAAGCAAGAGCAGCATATTTACAACTGAGGAACATCTGGAACTCAAAGCAACTGTCAACCAACACCAAGGTCAGGATTTTCAATACAAATGTCAAGACAGTTCTACTGTATGGGGCAGAAACCTGGAGAACTACAAAAGCCATCATCCAGAAAATACAGGTGTTTATTAACAATTGTCTACGCAAAATACTTCAAATCCATTGGCCGGACACTATTAGCAACAACGCACTGTGGGAGAGAACAAACCAGATCCCAGTGGAGGAAGAAATCAGGAAGAAGCGCTGGAAGTGGATAGGACACACATTGAGGAAAGCACCCAACTGTGTCACAAGACAAGCCCTCACATGGAATCCTGAAGGTCAAAGGAAAAGAGGAAGACCAAAGAACACATTACGCCGAGAAATGGAGATAGACATGATAAAAATGAACAAGAATTGGATGGAACTAGAAAAGAAGGCCCAGGATAGAGTGGGTTGGAGAATGCTGGTCAGCGGCCTATGCTCCATTGGGAGTAACAGGCGTAAGTAAGTAAGTCTTGTTCAATACGAGCCTATCTCCCTGTTGACTCCATATCGTTTTG